GGGCCAGACACATAATTTGATTTGGAGACGGCTGCTGGACTAGAGGTGTTACCAACCAGATTCCACGGAACGTCAAAAGAACATCTTGCCCCCCCCCCCTTACAAGATGGTCGGACTTCTTCGTCAAGACCTTGAATGAACTGTTTGATGCTCTTCGTGTTCCTGGAGCAAGCGGATGCCATTGGGCTACACTAGCACGCAACAGGGATGAATGGAGACATTACTGGTGCCTGCTCGAGCAAACCAATGAGCAACGGAAAGACAAGTGATACAAGTGATACAAATGATGATTTGGGGCCAGAAATCCTTGGAGCTGGACAAAGAACCTGGACCTCCAGCATGCAAAGCCTGTGCTCCAGTCTGCCAAGCCCTTTCCCTGGTCTTTGAAGGGTCTATAAATATATGAGATGCTGTCACATTAAAAACACCCAAGAGATCCATAGGAGGACAGCAAAGTAAGAGCCAGATTAAAGTTAAAAGAAATGCTTTCACATCACAAAAAAATTGGTCTTGCAAATGAGATTTCTTAAATGAAAAATGTTGTTTAGCAGAACCAACCACAGCCATGCTGAGACCTCTCTCCACATGTCCGGACAAGCGTCATGCATGAAGGAACAGGCAGAGGAACCCAGGCATGCGAGTCCCAGGGCTGAGATCTCCAAGCCTGCTTGGACCAGGACTGGGCCTTCTCCACCCAAATTCCCCATCTTCCAGTATGTAGGCATTACACCCACCAGCTGCTGCTGGCGCCAGGTGGTCCCATCAACGGCCAAGACCCAGCGACTATAATTATCTTGTTTTTACTTGGAGAACCCTACAGGCTACCGAAAGTATCCTGCCCTCATGGCAGAGTCTGGCAAACTTCCCAGACTGTTGAGTATTGTACTCAATATGCCAAATACCAGTAACAATGACAGGTCTCATTCTCCTAGCCCTGAAAAAGCATTGAATATGGCTCTTTTAAAATCTCAGGGCTAGGAAGAAGGAGACATTACTGGTGCCTGCTCGAGGCAATCAACGAACAACAGGATGATCGTGATCGTGATCATGATCGTGATCATTTAGCAGTAACATGAATCAGTGTATGTACAGAGGTTTCTCCTTTCATACAAGGAGAGATCCAAAGACTCATTACCTAGAATGGGCTAGAGTGGGCTAAAATGAGGCTAGAATGGGTCTTTGCCCATCATTTTCACTAATTGTGTAATTAGGCTCATCTATAATTTACCTCTGATCATCTCCAATTATTGATTTATACAATATGATTCAAAGTCTTTTTAACTCTAAAATTCATGTTTTGTGATATATGACTTTATCCTTGTCAGTTAAAAAATCTCCTTGGTAAGTTTGATCTATTTGATCAACTATAATTTGATATTCATGGAGAGTCCGGAAAATAGTCATAGAAATAAATTTGTTTTCCATATGTGCCCCATTATTTATTGAAGCATTCAGAACAATGACTAAGATTTGGAATCAACCTAGATGTCCAATGACTGATCAGTGGATCATAAATATATGGTATATATGTGCAATGGAATACTACACAGCTGTAATGAATGATGAATTTATGCAATTTGTTGCAACATGGATGGAACTGGAAGGCATCCTGGCAACATGGATGGAACTGGAAGTAAGTAATTACTTACTTACTTAAATGAAGTAAGCCAGAATAAGGACAAATACAGGATGATATCACTTACATGTTGTATTTAGAATGACTGGATGAGGAAAAGCAATGTTTTAAAGGAGGGATGCCCAGAAAAATCTTAACTCCAGAATATAGGGAAGAGAAGGGAAGAAAAAGTGGAGAGGAAGGGCAGAAGAAACATGAAATGAAAGGGGGCCAGATCAGAGAACTAAGATACAAAGTTTCTGTTAAGAAATGATAGAGCCAAACACCTCTATCAATAAAACACAGAGGCAACAATATTGAAATCAGGATTTCTAAGTTTAACACTTGAACTTAGAAAGGTGCTTGTCAAGAGGGCGGCCAGGGGCAAAGGGGCAGAGGGGACGGTAACGTGGGAAGGAACCCAGGAACATTAGTGAAGGGAAGTTGACACTGGTGATGGGATTGGTGCTGGAGTATTGTATGTCTAAAATTCAACTATGAATAACTTTGAAAATTACTGTGCTTTAATAAAAAATTAAAGTTAAAAAAAGTTGGTTCTCTTTTAGTTAGTTCTCAAATAAATGCATTTATTTGCTTTCTTGGAAAAGAACGTACTTGAGTAAAATGGTACTTAAAAGCTCCCAAGCTATTATGCTGTGAATGATCTAGTGACAAGAGTCATTGAAACATTTTCTGGAATGAGGCTTGGCTATTTAAATCATCAATGTGATTTTTATTTATTTTTAAATAAGAGAAGTAAAAGTATTGTACGAAGCCAAGTTTTTTTTTTTCAACCTACACTTCCTTTTAAAGTACTACACATATGGGGGCTGGAGCGATAGCACAGCGGGTAGGGCGTTTGCCTTGCACGCAGCCAACATGGCCGACATGGGTTTGATTCCCAGCATTCCATATGGTCCCCCGAGTACCGCTAGGAGTAATTCCTGAGTGCATGAGCCAGGAGTAAGCCCTGAGCATCGCTGGGTGTGACCCAAAAAGAAAAAAAAGTACTACACATATGAATTCAATATGAGTTATACTAACCAAATTGAAAAACCAGAATAAATACTATGTCTTAGTAAATAATGGTTGTCTTGAGATGAAGGAGATGATGACAACAGAGTGTGTAATGGGGCTGAGCTACTGTTAATATCATCATTTAGTAAGTCACTTTGAGTTCTCGCTGATTTGAAGAAAGTCCAAAGCACCAATTATTTTGTATATTTGTTTTCTGACCCTGATTATAAACACCTTCTTACAATAACCTGTTTGTAGATCATGCTTAACTTCATTAAAATGAAACTTTTCTAAATAGTGTCTTCCGTGAGCACCAATAAACGGTTTGCAGAAACCATGCATAAATCCAGACTGATAACACAGCTGTTTGCCACTAACCCCTTCGAGTACTTTCAACCCTCGTTTTGGCCACATTTTCATCCTACATGCCGATAGAAGGGAAGGAATTCTTGAGACTGGGGATGCATGTGAGGGATGAAGGAAACCCATCCTCTATAACACAGCCAGATGGGGCCGGAGCAATAGTCCAGCGGGTAGAGTGCTTGCTCTCTGTATGCTGCCAACCCAGGTTAGATCGCTGGCACCACATATGGTCCCCTGGGTATTTCCAAGGGGTGATCCCTGAGTGCAGAATTAGATGTATGCCCTGATCACAGCCAGGTGTGACTCAGAAGCAAAATAACAAACGGAAAACATAGCCGGAGCAAACAGTGTGATAGGTACAGAATTATTCCCTGATTCTGAAGTCACCGTTTCTGTGACACTGAGAACAGCTAGGACAGTCAAACAGAGCCTTATCCCAGCTCACCTCAATGTCTGAAATCATTAGCATGAAATACTGAATTATTCATTTCAATCATTTACACCTCGACTGGAGGTCCAAGGAAATGTGAGGAAATGCCAACTTCTGAGTCAAAATCTTCAGCTTTGAGACAGTACAGCAGGTAGGGCACTTGCTTTGCACACAGCAGACCTGATCCCCCAACCCCCACCAGAAGTGATCTCTGAGCACAGAGCTAGGAGTAAGCTCTGAGAAAAGCCAGGTGTACCCCCCTACAAACAAATAAGCAAACATTAAAAAAAGAGTTTAGTGCAAGGGTCAGAGAGGTCGTGTAGGAGGTAAAGTGTTTGTCTTGAACAACACCCAAACCGGTTCAACCTCTGGTACTTCATAGGGTACTCTGGGACCTGCCAGGAGTGGCCTCTGAGCTTAGAGTCAGGAGTAGACCCTCAGCACTGCTGAGTGTGATCCATGTCTGCTAAACACACACACACACACACACACACACACACACACACACACATACACACACACACCTATGAGATTCTGTCTACAGTGATTTTTCTTGGAGAGTTCAATACATTGCTTTGGTGTTTGGTGCAAATTTACATTCTGCTCTTTATTCTGTGTCTTGGGTACCCCCAACTATAAAGTGAGGGTTACTACGCCTACCGTTAAGGGTTGCTTTCATAATAAAAAAAAAGTTAATACCTTTGAAATTGCTGTCAATGATGTGAGCTCAGGACAGTGCTACAGATTTCACTCTCCCTCTCCGCCCCCAGTATTTCCGCAGGACCTAGCCTAGACTCTAGCTGAATAAACTGCAGCCTGAAGCTGAATATGGGGACATCTTCAAATAGCAATCACGGGAGGGGGGGGTGGGGGGGGGTTGTCATACCTGGAGGTACGCAGGGACCAGTCCTGGCAGAGCAGCTTGGGAAGGACGGTTTGTGGCCTGGGACTATCTTGGTGAGGCAAGCCCTATTCACTGTACTATCTTACTGAACCCCTTCAAATTAATTTATTTATGATGTGCTATCAGAATGCGCTTGCTCCACATCAATACGTATATGTCAAGAACTGTATGAAAACATTCTCTGGCAGAAATGGATCCAGGCGAAAAAGTTCCAGAGGCCTGCACTAGAGTTTTGGAGTGACATTTCTTGGACAAATCACTTGTCTACCTCTCTTTCCTACCTAGTAGGTGTAAAGCAACGCAAACGTATTCGTGTGTTCTGAGGTGTTCTTGATGGAATTGTTGGAATAGAAAAACTTCCATGTGAGGTCACCACCGAGCAATAGACGATGGAGACCCGACTTCCTTGGAAAGCTGGGAACACGGGACTCTTGGGAATAAGGGAAGGCCCTGTCTGGGAACACGGGGATGGGTGGGTGCTCGAGGCGACAGCCTAGTCTGCGCTGCAAAAACGCTTGGGTGCTTTCTCCCAAGACACTGACCCTTCGCTGGCCGGGACCGGACCCGTCCGTCCACCCCGCAACCGCCCAGCGCTGGACTGAAACGAAGGCCAGAGGAAAAAGCATAAATAACATTTATTGGACAAGACAGGGCCTTGGCCCAGCAAGATCTCAGTTCGACAGCAGCGACCCGGAAGGCGGCTCATCGCGGTCCAGCGGGCGCTTCTCCACGCAGACGGCCCCGGCCCGGTGCCTCCCCGAGTCCTCCGAGAGCCGGTCCGGGTCGCGGTCCCTCCCCGCGGCGGGAGCGCGCGGGGCTCCGACCAGGCTCTGAGCGCCCCGCAGGCGAAGGCGGAGGCGGCCGCGGGCCCGGCTGGAGGCGGGGTGCAGGCGCGGGGGTTCGTCCTCGCGTGCCGAACCCGGGCCGGGGTGGGCGCGCGCCAGGCCGAGGCTCCGGCGGGCCCGCAGCGCGCGGCTCAGCAGTCCTTCGGGGGCGCGCAGCAGGCGGCGGGCGCGGGGCGCGCGCGGGGCAGCGGCAGCGGCGGCGTCGGCGGCGGGCGCCGGGAGGACCGCGGCGTCTGCGGCGGGGCCGGCGCGCGGGTGGGCGCGGGTGGGCGCGGGCGGGCGCAGGAGCGCGGCGGCGCCGGCGCTGCCCAGAAAGAGCGACTCCTTGCGGCGCGTGTGCGGGCTCTCGAGCAGCGCGCAGAAGCCGTAGGCGGTGCGCGCGCGGGGCAGGTGCGGCAGCGAGAGCGCAGCCTGCGAGCGCGGGTCCCAGTCCGTGCGGCCCGCGCCGTCGCCCTCATCCGGGCCGGCTGGCGGGCCGCGGGAGGAGTCCAAGCGCGCGGCCAGGGCGGCGCAGGGGGCGAGTCGCGGCGGGATGCAGAACTCGGGGATGCGGTCCGGGGTGAGCACGTTGGCGCAGGTGGCGGGCGCGGCGCGGCGGGCGCGGCCCCGGCGGAGACCGGTCCTGGGCGACAGGAGGCGCTCAGAGTCCCAGCGGAGACGCTCCAGGAACCACATGGGGCTGCAAGGTGCGGGATCCCGAAGACCCGCGGCTGCGGGAGCGGGCGCGCTAGCAAAACACACGGTCGCGCCGACCCTCGGAGGAGTCAGCAGAGCGCCTCGGTTCCTTTCTCTCTCCTTCCACCGTCTGAGCGCTCCGGGGCGACCCAGACCCCTCGGTACGTTCCACCGCAATCGAAGACGCGTCCGCTGCGGGCTCTTCTCGGTTTCGGGGCCAGGCACAGTTTGGGACTGGTGCCTTTAATCTCGGTCCGCTCCGCTCTAGCCCAAGGCGATGGTTCTCCGACGAGTTGGCCTCTAATTGCAGGCGCAGCGATCGTCGGTGCCAAGAGTGGCTGGTGCAACCGTCTCCGGAAGCCTGGGGTTACCGCACGCAAATCCTCGCGGAGAATTAGAAACCCGGCGGTCGTGTTATCTCTGCCGGCACGGCCTCGCTCACCCCTTTTGGGGTGCAAAGATGAGCCCCGGGAGGGGAGATGAGCACGACTGAGGGTCCCTCTCTCAGTACCTGGGCCCCGGCGTCCGACGATCGCAGAGGCGCCCTGCGGGTACCGCTCCGGGGCCGCCCGGGAGATGCGCGTGGTCGCCCGCCAGCTCGGAGCGCTCCCCGCCCTGTGCCCGCCTCGGAGCCTGGAGCCGCGCGGTTCAAAGGCCGCTGGTCGGAGCCTTTATACCCCGAGCGGAGCTGCCAGCGGGGGCGGGCCCCGAGCGCGCTGCCTGGAAACCTTGACGCAGAGCCTTCCTCCACCACGTGGCCGCTTTCTCTGCCTTGGTGCCGGCACGATTCACTGGAGGCTCCAACCAGTGTAGAGAAGTTTGAAAAGTGACAGTCGGAGTCACTGGCGGGGATGGAAACGCAGGATGAATGAATGTGACCGCAGGGAAAGACGCAGTGGAGCTTTGCGTGACGCTTACCTAGCTAATCCTCCTCCTCCTTCTACGCTTTCTGCCCTTCTACAGTGTAGTAACTAGTGTTCAGAATAGAATTGCTTCTTCTTCTTCTAGGATTTTAAAGTTATTTGTTTCTTACATTAAGAAGTTTAATACTAAGGCACCACGATTTGCAGTTATTCATAGCGGAATATCAGACATACAATGTTCCAGCGCCAATCCCGCCATCAGTGCTAACTTCCCTCCTCTAGTGGCCCCAAATTCCCTCCCCCTCTCGCAATCCCTCAGCCTACCTCCTTGACAGGCACATTTAAAAATTATTTTATTTTTATAAAGTTATTCACAATAATTTATTATATTCAGTATTCCAACTGTGATAGCACAGCGGGTAGGGCATTTGCCTTGCACTCTGCCAACCCAGCCTGCCCAGGTTTCATTTTCTGCCCCTCTGGGAGAGCCTTGCAAGCTACCGAGAGTGTCCTGCCCACTTGGCAAAGCCTGGCAAGCTACCTGTGAGGTATTCGATATGCCAAACACAGTAACAAGTCTCACAATGGAGTCGTTACTGGGCCCGCTAGAGCAAATTGATGAACAACGGGAGGATAGTGACAGTGACAGTGATTCCAACACCAATTCCTCCACCATTACATCTTCCCATCACCATTATTTCAAATTTTTCTAACCACCCCCCAAGTCTGCCCCAACAGCAGGCTCTAAATAATTAATTTTGTGTTGCTTGTTATGAGTAATTCTCAAAAAAATGATTTTAAACGGTTTCCTTAGATGAAAGCGTGTGAAGATTGTTGTATCTTACCCTGGAGCCAGTAAGCCCTTGTATAAGAGATTACTAACATGTTACAGGTTAGGCCTTGTGTAAAAAGTAAGTAAAGTAAAGGCCCTCCCGTTGATCATCGATTTGCTCGAGCGGGCCCAGTAACGTCTCCATTGGAGACTTCGTTGTTACTGTGTTTGGCATATCGAGTACATCACGGGGAGCTTGCCAGGCTCTGCTGTGCGGGCGAGATACTCTCGGTAGCTTGCCGGGCTCTCCAAGAGGGGCGGAGGAATCGAACTCGGGTCGGCCAGGTTGGCTGCGTGCAAGGCAAATGCCCTACTGCTGTGCTATCACTCCAATATTTTTTGGTTGCCTTCTACTTTACATTCCAACCACAGTAGAAAGGTGATGTGCTATTCCTGGTATATCAGAGGTGTAGAGTCTAAGATGTTGTACAGCTGCATTCTAAATGCTCCAGGTATTCTAAAATTTTAAATAGGGGGTGATACAACTGGAGTTACATTTTTAATTGGATGGTGACTTTGGGGTCTGGAGACATCTCCAGCTTATTGATCTCTTTGGAGATTTGTGAGTCTCTGGATCCTGATTGGTGAATGAGCTTCTATGGCAGCAGAAGCAGTTCATGGGCATGACTGCCAGGCTCCCGGAAGAATGGAGTGATGGGGGGAGGTCACCCATCCATGAGTCTGTGAGAAGACAGGCACATTTTAAAATTTGGTTGTTGTAGTTTGGGTCTCCTGCTTTCAGTGTTGTTGGCTCTGTGCTTTATATATATATATATATATATATATATATATATATATAGATGTATATCTCACATCTATACCACTAATATGACTGAGGTCCTGGCCCCTTACCTCCATTATTTCCAGTCTTTGTGAATTGTAACCACATTTGGGCTCCAGACCTGCCAGAAATGTTCCATATCTTGATGTAGGTGGGGCCTCGGGTGCATTAATCATCAAGCAAGCCCTAAGGATTACACCTATACTTATATTTAAGATCATATGTGTTTTATATCCCATGGGAAAAAGTGACAGCTCAGTTCTTGAAGCTCTGTGTACAGAATATTTATTTGGAAGCTGTCCTGGTCACCCTAACCATCCTGAGCAGACCCCAGAGTCCCTCTCCTTCCCCTTCCACAGGGATGGTCCTGAACCTGAAAGAGAGCTGCTTTCTTTTCTTTGAATTTCTGCCAGCATGTGGCTGGCTATGTATGTTGTCCATGATGCTGCCTTATAAGTTACATCACAAAATACTGTTAGAGGTTTAACTCAATTCAGGCAAAGGCTATTTCAGACTGGGGACCCAGGATATGAATACATAATTTTATTTTGATGTTTATAGAGTCTAGAATGGCCACCTATCTTGTAAATGACTATTTCTAGTAACACATGAAGTTTGCAGTGTTACAAAATGGAGGAAATAATTTACGCTAATTGGTTGTTTAGAAGATTAATGAATCTAATAATTTAAACTACTTAGCACTGTGGAACACAGTAAGTGCTAAACACACAGAGGCAGAGTTGATTATTATTAACTAAATAGAAAGGAAGTTGTAGATTGTAATGATTTAAAAAAACGGGTGGAAGGCCCAAGAAGATAGCTCAAAGGCCTTGAGCGCATTCTTGTTCTCTGCCTGGCATTGCATAGACCCCTGGATACAGCAGGGAGAGATTCCCCATCATCACTGGGGTGACTTTTAAAAAGAAAATACAAAACAATGGAACGAGGATCTGGAATTAAATTATTAAACATTCATTACAACTGGTTATAAACTATAATCTATGTATATAATCTATAAACAACATATACTTCTTTGCAAGGGCTGGAGCGATAGCACAATGGTAAGGCGTTTGCCTTGCGTGCACCCAGCCCGGCCGAGCGGGGTTCGGTTCCTCCACCCCACTCAGCGAGCCCGGCAAGCTACCAAGAGTATTTCGCCCACACGGCAATGCCTGCAAGCTACCCGTGATGTATTCATTATGCCAAACACAGTAATAACAAGTCTCAAAATGGAGACATTACTGGGCCCGCTCAAGAAAATTGATGAACAACAGGAGGACAGTGCTACAGTGCTACTTCTTTGCAAAATGAAATTGTTAATACCTACCAACCAATATTGTTGTGCATAGAATACTTATTGGCTTATAGTTAACTTTAGATATTATTACAAAAGTTTGTATGGCCAGAAGTTAGCTGACATACACAAGGACTACTTTATCTATTTTTTAAATTTTTATTAATGAAACACCATTAGGTACAGTTGTAGACTTACAACTTTTTGTGCTTGGGTTTCAGTTATACAATGATTGAGTACCCATCCCTCCACCAGTGCCCATTCTCCACCACCACGGATCCCAGTATCCCTCCCACACCACAACCCCTATCCTACCCTGCCTCTGTGGCAGGGCATTCCTTTTTGTTCTCTCTCTCCTTTTGGGTGCTGTGGTTTGCAAAAGAGGAATTGAGTGGCAATCATGTTCGGTCTATAGTCTACTTTCAGCATGCTTCTCCCATCCTGGGCGGATCTTCCCAACACCCTTTATTTGGTGCTCCCTTCTCTATCTGAGTTGCCTTTACCCCTAGAGTGTGCGGCTGGCCTCCAAGCCATGGAGTAAAGCTCCTGGTACTTATCTTGGCTATTCTTGGGTGTTAGTCTCCTGTTTTGTTACTTTATGTTCCCCAGATGAATGCAATCTTTCTATGTCTGTCTCTCTCTTTCTGACTCATTTTGCTTAGCATGATACTTTCCATCAGTACCACTTGTATGTAAATTTCATGACTTCATCCACAGGACTACTTTAAAAGTATTTCTGCTCTTGTTCCACCAAAGCAGATTGGCCTTGTTTTTATGATTAATGGTCCACCATTTTCATAACACCATACATCATATCCTGTGTAAGATTTTTTGAAGCTAGCAGACATGCACTCTGGCACGAACGGCCCACATCAGACTGTACTGTACCCCTCTCAGAAGCTGTAGATCTGCAGTATGTAGGAGAGTGCAGTATGTAGGAGAAAGTCTTAGAATGAAACATATTTAGGCACTTGGACAAAGGCTGTACCAGGGGCCTGAGAGAAAGCTAAGGTAAGATATTTGCCTTGCATGTGGGCATCCCCAGTTTGGTACCACATTAGTTTCCCTGAGAATTTCCAGAAGTGAGACTTGAGCACTACTGGGTGTGGCCCAAATTTCCCCCCAAATTGTATCCCCCCAATCTCCCCAATAAAGTGGTTCCAAGTTCACCACTATAGTCTTGGAAATGTCCAATATAGCAGATGGAAAATAATTTATGAGTTTTCTGGGAGGGGAAGGAAGGCAAGTATTTGAAGTAAATATAAGAAACTGTACATAGCTCAGTAGAGAACTTGCTTGTATGTTTGAGGTCCTGACTTAAATCCCCAACAATGCATAAATACATACAAACACACACACACACATATATAGGCACAGAGGCATACATGCATACACATCTGCTTATATACACACTTTTATACATAGCACTGTCCTTCCGTTGTTCATGTATTTGCTCAAGTGGGCACCAGTAACATTTCCATTGTGAGACTTGTAGTTACTGTTTTTGTCATATCGAATACATCACGAGTAGCTTGCCAGGCTTTACCGTGCAGACAGAATACTCTCAGTAGCTTGCCGAGCTCTCCGAGAGGGGCGGAGGAATCAAACCTGGGTTGGCAAGGCAAACGCCCTACCCACTGTGCTACCGCTCTGCCCACTTTTATACATAAAGGCATGAATGCACACACACATGCATGCATACAGGGACATGGTGATAGTTCAGTACTCCAAAGCATCATCCTTATTGGTGTGAGGCTGTGAGTTCAGTCCCTGCGATGTCCATGTGTACAGAGCACCATCCTGGCACCTGTCCTCCTTGGTACCCCCTGCATCTCTTCAGGGTGTACGATCTCCAGAGCACCACAACCCAGCATGTGTGAAGCCCCTGGTCATTGCAACATGGCTGCTGCAACAAAGAGTGGGTAGAGGGGAGGTAATAGAGACATGCTCAGCTACAGGCCACTAGGTGATACTGCCACCGACTGAACATGACTGAGCATAGCCAACTAGGTGGCCAGGCCTGCTCTGCTGTGGGGCTCATTGGAGTGGAGGAAGCACTGTGGTGTGAGGCTCACCTCTGACCCACAAGCTGTGAGCGCATGACTGAACACAGAAAGCTGGAAGGCAAAGAGAATGGGGGAAAGTCTGAAGCCAGACGAGAGCTGCTCTTTTGACTTGTTTACCTTGCTCAACACAACCAAAGAATAAAATACACAGAGGCCAGGGAATCAGACACTTGGGTTTTAACCCTGACCATCCCTAACTCCTTGTAGAATTTGGACAAGTGTACTAATACTCTCTGTACTCAATGGGGTTGAACTAACCGGTTGATGTTTGCCTTCCTGTGGCTCCAACATTCTGCTGTTCATACCCGTGATTTCACCCAGACAATCTTCCTAATCTGTTTTTGACAGTGTCATCCTAATAGTCTATTTTGCCTCCATTTACTTCCCCTTTTTTTCTGCCTCCTAATTCTCTTTGGCCCTTCTCATCAAGCTTCAGGAAAATGGACAAGAAACGGTCTTAATTCCTTTTGGGGGGAAGGAGTCTTAGAGGTGCTTAGGAGGTCCCAAAGCTCTGTGGTGATTCTTAGCCAAGGGACCAGTGGTGAATGCAAGGGTCTGAGGACATGGCGCTGCTCCGGGACTTCAGTGCTGGGGTGAACCAGGGCTACCCAGCAGTGCTGGGCGCCTCCACGCCTGCACCTAGAGATGCTCTGGGAAGTGTGGTGCTAGGGACTGAACCTGGCTTGGGCACATGGGTTCTAAGCTGCACTCTCTCCCAGCCTTTGCATTTTTTTAAATTTAAAGCAGAACTATATTACATTTCCAAGTGACCCCAATTTTGATTTTTGTTTATTAACAAACAGCACTTTGCTCCTCTCTTCCAATTGCTCAATCACTGATGTCCTTCTCAATGTTACCAGAACTAAGGAAAGAACTCCAATTACTAGAATGTTCACTTTATTTTGTTACCATTGGTTCCAAATTTCTTTGGGCACACAGCAGGTGCTCAAGCAGAGTAATCAAGTTTCATGCTGAAGAGAAAAAATAATCTTTTCCTGGAGCTGGGTCGTGCGGAAGGGGTTTGCACATTGTCCCCAAGTCCCATGGGCCTCTTCTTGCGTGTGACATGTTCATACGTCACCTGGAATAGGAACACAGTGCTGGGGCCCCATGAGTCCTGGGTTCGTTGTCAGAGAAAGAATTTTCAAGGTCAAGATGGGCTAGACAATATTAGAGATTTATTTGGGGGGGCTACATCCAGCAGTGCTTGGGGACTACCTTGGACTCAATTAAGTGGGGCTCACTCCCAGCTGTGTCAAGGGTCCATGTGGGATCAGAGATTGAGCCCTGGTCCCCTGCATGGAAAGCAGATTCCCTATTCGCTGAGCATCTCCCTGGTCCCAACAGATTTATTAGACTGCACACCCCTGAAGTATGGGGCTGGGTACTCTCCAGGGAGTCTCAGGCACCAGGATTTGGGTTCAGTGTTTTTTTTTTCCGTTCTGCACTCAGTAGTGGCAGGGCTCAGTGGGTCCTGTGTGGTTCTGGGAATTGTACTGGGGTCAGATGCATACAAGGCAAGTGTCTTATTCTATGTACTGTCTCTCCTGCTAGGTAAATGTGTTTATGACATGAACTGAGGGAGGGAAATGCACTAGGGGTAGGGTAGGAGAGGGACAGCTGGGATTGTGCTAAGGTTGTGAGTGCACATAAGAACCACAAACTTGCTCACATGTCAAATATGTCATTGACATCTAATGATGTGTCAGGAGAGGCATGTAGGGTAATGTTAAATCCTAGACCCAATGAGCTAAAAAGGGACACAGAGTCATTACTCTGTCCTCTGAGTCTGTCCTGGTATTGGTTGGAACTGGGTTATCCAAGGGCAGCTCTCAGGAATATGGTAACCACAAGGCAGCCTGGTGAAGAGTCTTGAGGCCTCTTTAGTTTTCTTTGGCTGCATGGAATAGTTCTTTCTTGTTCATTCTAGTAGTTTTCCATCCTGCCTTTCTTGTTACCTCTGAACCTGCCCAGGCTGTACTACCTATGTCTGCTGTGAGTGTGCCCTATGGTGGGCCAGAATGCCCAGGTCAACATGCCTAGGGTATCTCCCTCCTTATTTGTCCTCAACTACTGAAATGGGCTCTGGCCACTTGGAACCCCAAACTGGGAATAAACAGATTGGAAAAGGAATGAACAAAATTACTGCTTGAGGAGGAGCTAAGTGATTTGAAAGAGATGCTTCTTTTCGGTTTGGTACAAGGTCAGGTTGTTGTGTGCTCTCCGGCTTCTGGAACAAAATCAACACAGACTGGGTAATTTAAAACAAAATAAGGGGCTGGGGAGGTAAGTCTGAGTGCAGAAGCCCTGATGTCCATTGGGTTGCTGCACGATCCTCTAAGTCCTGGGCATGATTCCTGACTACCTCTGGGTGTGGCAAACACAACTGTAGCACTGTGGCACTCTCCTCCCGTTGTTCATCGATTTGCTCGAGCGGGCCCAGTAAGTCTCCATTGTGAGACTTGTTGTTACCGTGTTTGGCATATTGAATGGGGAACTTGCCAGGCTTTTGCCGAACCGGCGAGATACCCTCAGTAGCTTGCTGGGCTCTCCCAGAGGGGCGGAGGAATTGAACCCGGGTTGGCCGGCCAGCCTCGTGCAAGGCAATCGCCCTACACAAACGTCCTGAATGCTCCAGCCCAACAGAACAACAACAATAAAAACAACAAGTTAGAATAAACAAATAAGTAAAAATGGCACATATTTATTCTGGAACCCCCCAGACTGGGGACTGTTTCTGAGATGGCCAGCTTCCTGCTCTCACGTGGTAGAAGGGGTGGTGGAGGTGGTGCTCTCTGGCGCCTTATAAATTAGTGAGCCTTATAAATTAGTCCCTAACACCACCACGTTGAGATTAAGGTTTGAACGCCTGAAGCGGGTGGGGGTGGGGTGGGGTAACTTTCACTCGAGTCGTTGTATAGGGCAGCTCAGTGATATTTCAGATTCTGCCTAAGGGTGGCCTGTGGGCAAAAGTGTCTGACTCAAAACTGTTGCCCTCATTTGCCAAGTGCCTGCAGCACCCAGCCCTTGCAGCCAGGAGCTGTGGTCTCCACAGCAACCACAAAGGAAAGGGAAAAGGGAAAAATAATCTATGCGGCCACAAAGAACTTTAGCTTTTTTTTTTCTTCTAAAGTTTTAGAAAGAATCATGATTTACAAAGTTAATTGCGTTTTAGCATAAAATAATTCAACACCAATCTCTCCATCAGTGTCATCTTCCCTCCACCAGTGTTCCCAGATTCCCTTCCCGTCCCAACCCCATTCCATGCTCTTCCCAACTTCCCTGCCCCCATCCGAAACTTTAGCATTTTTAAAAAAAGGAATCTGGGGCCACACCTGGCGGTGCTTTGCGCCCTTGTGGTGATGATGAGGTTCTAATCACACAAAGCTGCGCTCAGCCTCCCATTATCACCGCCAGGTTTCTGTTAGCATTAACCTTTTCCCACAAGACGTGTTTTGCTGATTTCACACGTTTTTCAGGGAAAGGTTTCCGTCCTCTAAAAGGCAATGGTTTTTCAGCTGGTAGTGGACTTTCACTAAGGTGGTGGAAACTTTTTGCATTGTAAAAGCAAAAGAGATTTGTAATGGACTGTCTGCCAGGGACAGAGGAGGGGGTGTGGGGATGGGGTGGGGATGGGGGGTTGGGAGGGGAAAAAGAAAATTCTCAACTGGGCGCTACCTTCCAGGCAAGCGAATTGAGCACAGAAGCTCGGAGAGAAGGAATACAAAAGTGCACGAGAAAATACGCATCCAGTTTCCAAGCAACCAATGCAACCCCCTGTTCCTGGGGAGGCTCTGGGGTCCACGCGCCTAGGGAGCATCAGCAGCAGTGAGGAGCTCGCCGCAGGCGCAGTGCAGCACGGCGGACCCCTCTGAGCTCGGCCGGGGCTCGGTCCCGCCCAAGTCTCGGCGGCGGCCGCGGCCTCGCCCCCAGGCCCTAGACGCGCGCGGGCTGCGAAGCCCCGAAGTCCAGCGGGCCGGGCCGGGCCGGGCCGGGGCCGCGCACTCGGCGGCGGCGCGCATGCGCACGTCGGTCACGCGCGCGGTCGGGCGGGGCCGCTGTCATTCGCGGTCCGGGTCGCCGCCCTCCGCCGCGCCCGACGGTTCCGGCTCCGCTGCCGCCGCCTCCCGGGGGTCCCCCACCATGGTGCTGGAGTCGGTGGTCGCCGACCTGCTCAACCGCTTCCTGGGGGACTACGTGGAGAACCTGAACAAGTCGCAGCTGAAGCTGGGGATCTGGGGCGGTAAGCCCGGAGGCCGGCGCTGCGGAGGGGGCTCCTCCCGTCGGGGGTGGGTGGGGGGGGGGTTTCCGCGCGTCCAGACTCCGCCTCCGGGGCCGCACGGCCGCGGGGTCCCCTGCGCCCACCCCCTTACACACCCCCCGGGCGACAGGGGCGGGGAGACGCTTCGGGGCGCAGCAGCGGTGCAGAGGCCCCGGGTTTCGCACGCGCCTGGGCCGCGGGGAGGCCGGGCCGGGCTGTCCTGGGTGATCGGGGTGGGCAGCGCCGCTGGCTCGTGCAGGGGGTCCCCGGGCACGCCGGGTGCCCGCCGAGGCGACCCCCGCCCCCGATTGCAAGGCGCGCACACTCCCCCCTCTTAGCCCGCCTCTCCCGCGCGCGGCTCCGGGGACGCTGCGGAGACTGCCCGGCCGCCGTGGGTCGCGACGGCCAGGGTCCGAGGGGCCCCTGATGGGCTAGATGCAGGGCCGGACCCCCGTGCCCGGCATTGGGAGGCCCTGTCCGGGCGGGCGGTGGCCCTCGGGACTGCTGTGCCGCGTGACGGACTGCGGGCCCCCTGGGCTGCGCACTGACGTTCAGAGGCGGAGCCGGAGTGACCGCAGCCTCCCCTGTCGCTTGCGGGTCGGAATGATAACGTTTGAGTAGACGGGGCAGGTCCAATAACCGTGTTTCTACTGCAGGCCTCCTGTTTCGTTTTTGCTTTTTATGCAAACATGATTAAAAAAAAAAAGAGAAATGACACCTGACTTCTAAAACGTGTAGCTGTCCACGTGGGTCGTGTGTTTGCAAGGGCAGTGGTGGGGAAGTATCAATACTGCCCTGACCATGGGGGGAGGCGCAGCTTACTGATTCCTCACCTCTTGGCCGGTGGGCGTGGTTGGGCAGTGCCCTCTGACCACACGGGGCCTCTGATGCAAGGAAGGGGACGCTGAAGGAATTCAGTGCCCAGTGATCTCTGCAGGGATCAGAAAAATCCTCTCCGCTCGTCGGAGCTGCCCCATGTAGCAAACCGTTGGAATCTGGAAAGAGCACTGGCCTTGCTGAGAGGTGGTCATGGTCATGGTTCTTGCTTGTGATCGACAAGCCTTTTACCTGATACCTTACTCATGCCATAATTCTATCACTTGTAAAAGGATAGAACAAATTATACCAGATAATTTAGTTTCCTCAGTAATCCCAAACAACCCTACCCTTTATGACTGATTTAGGACCTCTCCCCTCAATCCTGGCTAGAAGTAAAACTCACTGGACATTTGCATATTTCTTCCTTACCAAATCTTACTTTTCCCATAAGATTAGGAGTTGGACTAGGAATCTCTAAGTGTCTTTCCAGCCAATACGCTGTGATTCCAGTTATTGGTGTTTTTGCTGTGAAATTATGACACATTCCTTGAGGATTTGAAAGTTTCCAAGACAGTAATGAGAATGCCCTAATTTTGTTTCATCTAATTTTTTATTATTTGGCTTTCCCAAGTGGTGTCTAGGAGCCTGGGACCCCGTGGTTCTGGGAATACTTGGGCCATACCCTGGGGCTCTTGGGGGCCCCAGGGTCACATTCAGAGGTATAGGGATCCAGACAGGTTTGATCAACTGCAGAGTACAGTGTTAACTCCTCTGCTTTCTCTTTGGCTCAACATGTCCTTTTGGATCATTTTTTTTCCTTCCTCCTTTGGTAAAATTCAGGGAAAGAGACTTTGCTTTCATATCATGTTCTTCTTTTTTTTTGTTTTTGCTTTTTGGGTCACACCCAGCAATGCATAGGGGTTACTCCTGGCTCTGCACTCAGGAATTACTCCTGGCGGTGCTTGGAGGACCATATGGGATGCTGGGATTTGAACCCGGGTTGGCTGTGTGCAAGGCAAATGCTCTACCCGCTGTGCTATAGCTCCAGCCCCATATCATGTTCATCTTTTGAGAAATAATATTCTGCTAATGGCTAGCAATAGCTCTATAAAAGGCTTGAGTAAATAAAGACACATTTCCTTTAGAAGTCAATGATTCCCTCAGTATTTTTCCCAACTCATAACTCTGCCTCTTGTTTTTGAGATTTAGTAAAGGAAGCAAGAAATTGTGAGCTTTTATGGCTGGTGTACAGTGAATGTGTAACGCTACTTCCTTTGTGAAAATAGGCAGAACATGCGAGTTAACTATTTGTATTAGCTAAAACATTGCCAAAGAGATATATTTTTTTGAGGGGGTGGGGTATGCTCATGGCATCTTATTTCTATAGTGTCGAGGGCTCAAGACCTAGGTGCATAGGTGGTGTAGCAGTCAGGGATCTGTATGTATCTAAACCACAGAACCAACAACACTGTGAGAATTGGACCCCAAATTACAATAAACCACTTCAATGTCACCCTGTCAATCAAGGAAGCAAGCTGAGAGTGGGGAGGGAAACCAGGGTCATTGGTGCAGGGAAATTGACACTGGTGTTGGGATCGGTGTAGGAACACTGTATTCCTGAAATTGTATTGTGAACAACTTTGTAATTTACAGTACCTTCATAAAAAAAGCTTAAAACAATAAAAAAAGAAATGTATCTGAAAGTCCATGTGGTAAGTGTGGGAATATTGATGGCCTTAATCCCATCACTTGAGTAGCTCACATTTGTGAAATGTTTTCAGGTTTTATAAAGAATTAAAAAATTTCATAGTCTTTTATCTCAAAAATATTTGCTTTAAAAAATAAGGGCCATGTGCCATTGGACTTGACTTTTTATGTCTTTACATCTGGCGAAAGAAAAATTGAACCGGTTTGGCACAGCAGATGTTGCTGTTCTTGGAAATAAATGGAGAATGAATCTGGTACCTCACTGTGGTATTACACCAAAGGCTGGAGTTTCCCACCTGCAATGGCTTTGCCCTCAAGGGGCTCTCTGGAAATTTCTCTGGAAATTTTGGTCGTCACAGTGAGGGGTAAGCTTTACTGCTGGCAGCAAGCCGGGTGGACCCCAGAAATACTGTTAAACCCTAGAATCAACCATCCTAAACTGTTGTGAAGATCCTCGTCCAAAGAGAAGAATGAGATTGTTGCCTGCATTTATCGGACCCCCTTTAAGGGGTGCAGATAAGTCAGGTGTAAAATGAACCTAGGAAAAGCAGATGCAGCCCCAACTTTGTAATTTAGGCGAGAAACAGGTCGTAAGGAGTGGCTGCAAGATCACCGGTGAGAGTGCAACAGCTTTACCAGGATGCTATCAGGGAACAGTTTACAGAATCACAGTGTTGTGTTCATATGTAGAGAAGAACTTCACTGAGTGAACAGGGTCATACATTTGTGAATTAACAGAGAGGTCCACAAACAAAAGTCAGAGGGAGGATGAGGAGATATTTGAAATGTTGTGTTCTTCAAAGTGGAGGCGACCTCAGCCCTGGGGTTGATGGACTGATTAAGGAAGCAATTGTGAGTACAGTTGTGGGCTTCTCTGTTCTCTTAAGGAAGGTAGAGTTTTTTTTTGGGGGGGGGGGTCACACCTGGCGATGCACAGGGGTTACTCCTGGCTCTGCACTCAGGAATTTATTCCTGGCAGTGCACAGGGGACCATATGGGATGCTGGGAATCAAACCCAGGTTGACCACGTGCAAGGCAAACACCCTGTGCTATTATAGCTCCAGCCCCAGGAAGGTAGGTTTTTTTTTCCTTGTGTGTGGGGGGGGGGGAGGGGAGGACACTGAGTAATTTTTGTTCTGAAAGGCCAATTGAATTTGGGAACCTCTGGTCTAAAATAGGGATGTGTGCTGTGAATTTTACCTTCAAATTAGAGAAGAAAAAAAAAAGACTCCTTGTCTTCAAATAAAAGCTTTCAGTTTTTATTTCTGTGTGTGTGTGTGTGCCAAGGATTTCCTATGTGTTTTAGAAAGTGACTTAAACAGGATCAGATCTGTAGTACCGGGATTAAGGAGCTTGCCTTGCACATAATGATCTTGGTGCAATTCCTGGCACCATAGACTGAATATGGTCCCCTTGTGCCAGGAATGATCCCTGAGCTCAGAGCCAGAAGTAAACCCTAATGGTTGGTCCCAAAACAAAACACAAAACAGAAAAAAGATTTAAAAGATTCTTGCTGTTGTAGAAAACCAAGACTTTGGTGGTTTCTGAGCAGTGGGACCCTGGGTCCAGAAGCCCCAAGTAATGTTGGGTGCCAGCGTCACCCCTGCCTGTTCCCCTGGCAGCAGGCCTGACTATCTGGGTTGGTCCTGTCTGGCCTGAGGGACTGGGGCCCCAGGGTCACGCCCACTGCTGAAGTGGGGTTTGCTGGGCCGAGATCTAACTTGGGGCCCTCTGAGCTATCTCCTGGACCCAGTCTTTTAGTTTTTAAGCCTCAGTTTTCTTATCTGTACAGTGGAGAAATAATACTGTGTACATGAGACAAATTATTGAAAAGTCCATTGTAATTATAGTTGTTAAACTTTTTTGCCATGCTGATAGTGATAGCGATGATAAAACTGAGTGAAGGCCAAGATTTTGCTTTGTTTTCAAGTTTCTTTCTGAAACTGGGGTTTACACCTCTATTGGTGAGAAGATTTTATGTAAAGAGAAAACCACACTCCTTAAAGTTTCTTTCTTAAAAGTTTCTCAAAAGGAAAAGAAACACCTAGTTGATTCAAATGTATACTTATGTGAAACCATATTTTCACAGTTTCAGAAAAGTGCTGTGTGTATGTGTAAGTTTCTCTGGGGTTGGGGTTTTATTTAGCACAAACTGGTTTCAGGAGGTAGACTATAGGACCCACTGTGGTCTGACGGGTGTCTCAGAAATAATTGTATGTTTTTCTTTTAGGTCTGTAAGCAGTGCTTAGGAAGCCCAGTGGTTCAGTGATTTTCAGCCCGTGAGGCCAAACTCAGTGCTCGGGCTTGAGGGTGCGATGCCGCTCAGCTCTGCAGTGCTGGGTGTATCCAGGCCACCTCGTGGAGCTTGGATGCCTCCTGGGCTGTACCCTGTGATGCAGGATCCACAGTCAGCCTCATGCTGCACCTTATCCCCTGCTTTATCTCTCCAGCCTCTA